AGCAGGAATTCTAACCAGGAATCCTGGACATTTGGTGCTGCAGCACTTCAGGAAGGTTTTTACCAGAGCCAGAGGTAAGTTTTGACTTAGAGACTTTGCTGCTAGCAACAAGCAGTGACAGGTCACAACACAGAGAGTCACCTTGGATCAACAGGAGATTATTCCCACTGGCAGGAAAGAAAGGATGTTATTGCTCTGACTCCAGAGCTCAGAGTGGTGGTGTCAGAGCCACAGTATCTTCTGAGTTGCACACATGGTTAGGAGATAAGAAATGAGGAGCAGAGCCAACAATAAGGACAAAGGAATGTTTTGGATTCTGAGCCTGAGTTTCCCTTTGGATGTGTACCCTGAGCTGCTGCCATGCCACAGGGACAGACCCAGTCCCTGATAAAACTCCTTCAGTCACTGCATGCTTGGAGCTCTCTAGTGTATCTGACTACCTATCCAGTCAGCTTCCCCTGGGAAATGGGGAATTGCTTCAGGATGGAGAGAAACACCCAGTGAGTGCCCTGAGCTGGAACACACTCCTGGCAGTTCCATCACCTGTCCCAGAGAGCCAGAAAGGGCTGCGAATAATTCAAACACAGAGGCTTGTGTTTCCCAGTCTCCTCTTAACTGCCCAGAGCAACAGCTGGAACAGCTTCACATCTGTTCCAGAGGTACTGCTGCCTGAGGAAGCTTCCAGAAGAGCAGCAGAGCCTGGAATGAGACCTCACAGCGATGTGGTGGCTGAGCCCTGCATGACACACTGGCAACACAGGGACAGAAAGAATACTCAGGAGACTCCCAGAACAGCCCAGGGGCACAGAGCTCACAGCCCAAATAGCTGCAGGGAGAGCCACGGCACATCTGGAGCTGCAGCTGCATGTGGAGCAAAGCCCACCCAGGGCTTAGCTTCCCTCTCTGACCTTGAGGAGTCCAGGATGGCTCCACAATTGCCTCACTGCACCAGGAGAGCTGCCTGAGTCCACTAAAAAAAGCACCTTCAGAAGAAGTCCTGAACAGCAAGAAAAAGTTGTGGGCATGGGGACTGCATGAGGAGCTGCACTGGCAGATGCCAGGGACATCTTTGTCCCATGAGGGCCCTTGGCACCTCCTCTGATGCTTCATGCAGAGCAGCAGAACCAACCACAGAGGCTGCTAGGGCAAAGAATTCCCAGCTAGGAGCATGGGATTTACCCTCCTGATGAATTGAGGATTCCTCCAGGATTCCATCTGAGCACTGAGGCTGAGATGCAAATCTCTCCTGGAGAGAGCAGGGCAGAAGGTGTAGAGAGGAACATCCCTTCTCCTTGTGTGGTGTGACACTCCTCACCCTCCACAGCACAGGCATTTCAACAAGTCTTGCCTTCAAGAAAGCAGCAGCAGGGGCTGGAAAACCCTTTGTGATCCCACTCCAGCTGAGGCAGAGCAGAGAGAGGCTAAGCCCAGCCAGGCTGTGGGTTCAGACACTCCAAAACAAAGCAGTTGCACACATGTCTGGTCTTAATCTGAGCTGCTGGGAGGTGTCCCTGCCAGGGCAGGGAGTTGGGACTGATCATCTCTTAAGGTCCACTCCAACCCCTTAACATTCTGTGAACCTCTTCTCTCTGACCACCAGTGACAAGACCTGAGGGAATGGCCCGGAGTTGTGTCAGGGGAGGTTGAGGTTGAATATTAGGCAAAGGTTCTTACCCCAGAGGTGTTTGGGCACTGGAACAGGGTTAGGTTGAATATCAGGCAAAGGTTCTTCCCCCAGAGGTGTCTGGGCACTGAACAGCTCCCCAGGGCAGTGGTCACAGCCCCAAGGCTGACAGAGCTCCAGGAATGTTTGTCCAATGCTCTCAGGCACAGGGTGGAATGTTGGGGTGTCCTGGGCAGGGTCAGGAGTTGGACTAAATGATCCTCAAGGGTCACAACTGTGATTATTCTGTGATCTATGAATCTATGCCAAGTGCTCCATTCCAGCAGCAGCACATCCCAACCTGCATGGCTCCCTACAACCACAGCAGCCATTTCCCTTGCTTCCAAGGGAAGTGGAAGTCACCCACAGGGCATCAGCCAACTGTGTGATGCTGTACCAGGGGCAGAGGGCCAGGACAGCCCCTCCAGGCACTGGGGGAGCTGTGCCAGGTGCTCTGGAGTGCTCCAAACACACACCTTCCCGCTGCTCAGCTGTCAGCTGCTCCTTGGGGAACTCCACATCGAAGGTGATTATTAGAGAGCCTTTGATGTTGTTGTTGTCAAAGTTTGGAAGACCTTCTCCCTTCTTCCACAGCTTGGCACCAGGTTTGGTGATTTTATCCCGAGCCACATGAACCTGGAGAGAAAAGGAGTTTTAGAGCATTAAGTTACTGAACCAGAATCGCAGGAGCATTTGAGGTTGGCAAAGACCTCCAGGATCATGGAGTTCAACCTGTGACTGATCACCACCTTGGCAAGGAGACCAGAGCATATCCAGTCGTTCCTTGAACACCTCCAGGGGTGGTGACTCCACCACCCCCCTGGGCAGGACCAGCACTGAGCCTTAGTGATCTTCCTGCAGTTGTCCTCAGTCACTGATCAAGACTGTCCAGGTCTCTCTGTAGACCTTTCCTCCCCTCAGGCAGATCCACACTCACACCTAACTCGGTGCCCTCTGTAAATATCCTCAGGGTCACTCACTCCTCAAGTCCAGATCATAAATAAAGATGCTAAGTGACCAGAATGCCCTTTCCAACCCACTGGAAAGCTCTAGTTGACACTGATCCTATGCCAGAATGTGATATCCAAGGGGTAGAGGCAGAACTAACACTGCTGGGACAGCCTGGAAGCAAGACCCACACTGTACAGCCTTCAGAGAGAGTTTCGGCTCCATGGCAGCTGGTTTAGAAGGCTCTAGCAGAGGGAATAGCGCATATAAGATGACCCTGAGTGAACTAACCTTCAGCACAGGAGACCTGCAGGGAAATGAGGGTTACACACAGCACCTTGGGCCTCACCTTGTGCCCATCCAAGTGGGCAATGTCCATCTCAAAGCCTGTGAGTGCCTCGACCAGCGAGATTGTCACGTTTGTGTACAAGTCATCTCCTCTCCTTTCAAACACTGGGTGCCTGGGGAAAAACAAGAGACACTGAACTCTTCTCCTTCCCCATAGGGGAAACAGGTCCTTCAGCTCCTTCCCCTCTGTTTGGGAGCCTGGAGAATTCAGCAAGAAGAGAGGAAGTGAGGAATGTATCTGATTTAGATCATTTTCCTGTGTGAGGGACCTGCCATCAAATGCCCTTTCTATTTCTAGGGCAGTGAGTGCTGAGGTGTGGCAAGAGATTGTGACTCACGCCAATTTTCTTAGTAGTGCATTTCCTTACTATAAGAAGAGAGTGTGTTTGTGGAAAAAGGAGCTGTTTCATGTGACTCACACCCCACAGATCCAAGCCAAACAGATTAAGATGCCGTGATAACTCCACTTCCACCAGTGCCCAATCCAGCTGCTCCAGCAGCAGCAGAGTGAGTACCAGGGCAAGTTCCATGCTGGCCAGGCAGGCAACACTGGCCAGAAAACGTCTTGCAAGCTGTTTTTGTAGCCAGCAGGAAGAGAGGCTTAATCAGACCAAGGACTTACTTGAGGACTTTGATTCGGAAGCGCAGATCACCTGGTTCCCCATCCACGTGGGGCTCACCTGGCAGGGAGAAAGAGAAGCTGTTTAGAGGAGCTAGTCAGGAGCAAGTGAAGGAACAAGCAGGATGTGGAACACAAGAGGGACTTGCAGCCCATGTGGTAAAGGGAAAAGTACTGTTTAGATGACTTAGATGTGCTTACACAAGAGCTGAGAATTGAGTGTTGCCTCATCCCTCCCACGTGTTCTGGCAGAGCTGCATGTTAGTGATGCCCTTTACTCATGGGAAGGTTCAGCTCCTTGTGCAGAGGGGATTCCCTCACCTGCTCAAGCCTGGAACACATGTTCCTGCTCAAGTGTTGTCTGCAACCTCAGCTTTAGAGCTCTGGTTTGTGCATTCCCCAAAACCAGCAAAGGGAGTGGGACTTGGTGGTAGCCACTTTTAGCAAGGAATATGGAAGGACACAGCACTTCCAAGCACATCATCAAGTACCCAAAGCACGGTTAGGGAGCCTTCCAGCATGGAGGAGTGAGAGCTGAGCACACACATACCTTCCCCGATGAAGGGATACTCCATGCCATCCCTCACACCTGGCTCTATCTCCACTTCCAGTGTCCTCTCCTCGTTCACAAGCCTGCAGAGGGGAAGAGCAGAGCAGCACTCAGCTCTGAACTCTTTATTTCGACTCTATTTCAACTTCTGTTTGTGCTACTGGGCAATGAGAACACCCTCACGAGCTCCCACACCCTCTGCTTGCTCACATCTGCAACTGGAGGGTAAGAGCTGCCTCCCCACTAGCCTCAGCTAGAACAGAAGGCCAAGTGAAGCTCTTAAATGCAGAGTCAGCATGTGGATGTGTCTCCAACTCAGCATTCTATGCCCAACCCTTTGCAGCTGGAAAGAGGGAATGGCCTTGAGCTGAGCCAGGGCAGAGTCAGATTAGATGTGAGGAGAAATGTTTTCCCTGTGAGGGTGTTGAGGCACTGGGACATGGCCCAGGGAGGTGGTAGAGTCACCATCTCTGGGGGTTTTTAAGAGGTGTCTGGATTTGGCACTGGAGGATCTGGTTTAGGGGTTGCAGCAGTGACAGGTTAATGGTTGGACTCGATCTTAGAGGTCTCCTCCAACTCTGATGGTTCCATAATTCTATTAAGTCAAATTTTGTAGGAGAACTTGCACTGTGGTGTGACTGTGCAAGAAATAAAAGGCTGGAAGAGGAAACCGGTGAGCTCCACATCCAACAGAACTGGCCACCTCTGCCAGAAGGACAAAGCCTGGCCCCTTGCAAATGAGGAGTTCTCCCAAGTTCTCCTCGGGAACACAGGCACTTGCCCCCACCTAGTGGCAGGTTTTGAACGTTACTCTAGAAACAATTCCAGGATTCACCAGAGCAGCAAAGAGCATCATCCAACTCACTTGACATTGGGACATTCGTCACAAACAACCTCCTGGGTCATCTGGAATCGCCCAGGCCCCAGCTGGGTGGTCCTCATCTCCTGCCTGCAGTTGCATTTCCGTTTGCCAGGAGCCTGTCTGGCCACTGGCTTGTTCCTGACAACCTGCAGGGAAGAGGAAGAGGTTGATGCCAGCACTCCTGAGCTTCCACGAGGCTCTGGATGTCTCAAACAGCCTGAAGATAGACCCACAGGGTGGTCTGGGATGGAAGGAACCATAAAGATCACCTTGTTCCAACCCCCCTGCCATGGTGGGGACACATTTTTGGGTGCTGCCTCCACAGGAACTGCAAATGTGCCCTCAAAACACTCCAAGTTTTCACCCTGTGATCACATTAAATGCCAGAGAAATGGTGATACCACTGTTGCCATTTCCATTCTTTTTCCTGCACATCTTCCTAAAGGGAAACACTAGGATGGGACAAGCTCACACTTGGGTCATATTGCTGCCTTGTCCCACACAATGGGGGAATGACTGGGAGTTCCCTAAAGCACTCAGCACACAAAATCAGCCAGTGCCAACCCCACCATACAGAGCAGCAGGGACTGGCAGTACCAGAAATGAAGCTTGCTGAAAAGGAAGAAGAATTGTCACCTCCTTTTCTTGCTGATGCTATCCGAAAGCTTCCTGTGACATGTTTGGCCACACACAGAGACTAGGAAAACTCCTCTATGTGGTTTGGCAAGAATTGCAAAGGCAATTTGAGGCTTATAAACAGGTTCCCAAAGGTCACTGTAGTCTACAGAGGGATCATTCACACCTTTTCCAGCTGGGCTGCTGCACTACAAAGGCTCCAGCTGGCACTGACAGCCAGGAAATGCTGCTACATGAAGTATCACCTCATGGAGACACTGCCAGATGGCAAAGGTGACTACACGTGTTGTTTCTTCAGCAAATCCAGTAAAGAGCAGCAAAACATCCTCATCCACACACTGAGCAAAGGAGCAACTGTTTCATCTCTGCTGTTTGGGGGGAGATGTTCTGAGCAGTGCTCAGGACAAGCTGGAAGCACCAACAGAGAAGCAAACTTACTTCTACAAAGTTTCCTGAATACACCTCCTCCAGGGTGACCTCCAGGTCCACAATGATGTCACTCCCTCGGGGGATGTTTCGGTCCTGCTGACGAGGGTTCCCCCCAAACATGAATCCAAAGTCCCCAAAGAAGCTGGAGATGAGCACACGAATTAGTCCAGGATGGAATGGATGAAGAGAGTCACCCAAGGCAGCAGCAATGTGCTACTGGGAAAGTGCTTCTATCCCACTTAAGAACAGCCTCCTCCAGCCCCAGAGCTCCAGAACATATCCCAGAACCTAAAGAGGTTGCTCCCTCAAGACACAAGCCAAAGCCTTCAAACAAAGCAAACACTTTGCAAGAGTTTTTCTACTAAACCCCTCAAGTTTTAGAGCAAGAACACCCCAAAATCTGATCAGTGGCTAAGAAAAATCCTCTCTGTGCTGCACTGCTGCTCAGCTGCCACTACCACAAGGTGTAAGCTCTGAGTAGCACTGCAGGGCACTGCTAGCAGCTTAGGTTTCAGCAGTTTGCGGACAAGGAGGTGCGAGAAGCTTCCTAGCAAGCCTAAATGTTTTCCCTCAGGGCAAAGCAGAGCAGCAGGCAGTGAGAGCTCTCACCCAGGGGTACAGGAGATGAGCAGCTTCAGGAATTGTGGTAGGAAATTTAGGCCTAGCTATTCCCAAGAGGCAGAAAATCAAGTCCTGCCTAAGCAACATCCAAGTGCCTTTAGATTTGAGTGCTCTAGATTCCACAGGTGTTGTACAAGTCAGCACAGCAGGAAAGGTGTCCCCAACATGCACAATTGACCTGTGGCAACAGCTGAAATGTCAGCTCCAGACAGGAGAAAGTTCCCCCATGGTTCATGCAGGTGACAAATCTCCCACACTGGCAGGAGGTGTCCATGCGGGAAGTCACCCACTGGTTGCTCCTTGTAGCTTGGACTGGGAATTGCACTGGGAATGTACCTCAACTCTCACTGCCCACCAGTGGCTCTGTGTTGAGGGAAAACCATGCCAGAGATGTGTACAAGCACCACAAAAGCTGAGGACCAGCTGGAAAACCTCCTTACTGGGAGAAGATGTCTCCATGGGAGCTCTGGTGCCCATCCTTCAGGCCTTCCTCACCGTAGGCATCGTACTGCTTCCTCTTCTCCTCATCCGACAGCACCTGGGAAAGGGAGGGAAGCAGCCAAGGAATTCACCCGCAGCTGAGGGGACAAGGCCCCCAGCTCTTCTCCATGGGAGCCAAGCAGCCCTGGCTAGGACTTGGTGGCTGCACTGGGCTCAGAAGTTCAGCATTTCTCACTGAAACCCATAAAAGTGGAGTTAGCTCAGGGAAGAAGCAGCAGTCACAGGGAAAACAAAGAAAACTGAGTTTATCTGGAAAAAGAATCAGAAGGAATAACTCAAATCCTACAAAACAGGACACACTGGGAAAACTGAGCACAAAATCCCACCCTTGTGCCTCAGTCAGGACCTCTAAGGTTGTAAAGCATCTATTTTAATGGTTAAGATTTGATTTTGCTCTTTCCTGACACAGAGATCCACAAGTCTACAAGCACACTTAGTCTTCCTTCCCATTCAAAGGCACCACAAACCCTTCCCCCCCTGGAGCTGGATTCCTCCCATGGGATCCCAAGTTCCCACCCAAACAGCAAGTGAAGTAACTGCTGGGAATTGTTGCTGAGGGAATTTTGCAGCACCACCTCCACAAGGTCTCTCTGCTCCATGGGGGATATGGCAGGAGCAGGTGGAATTCAGCAGTGACAAGAGGAAGACAGAAAGGACAGGAAGCATGGAAGAAACAGATCCTATCCACACATCCCACTGCCATGGATGCACAGCCAGGGAAAGCTTTGGGCAATAATCCATATGGGATGTATTTCATGTGCTAGGAGTGTGAAGTATCACTTGCATGCCACAATATTATCTGGGAAGCAACAGGAATCCTCATGGATATGTGACCCATGATGGGTTTTTCCCACTCTAAAAAGCCAAGCACAGATCCTTTGCTCTCCCAGCAGCTCAGATGAATCACAGCCAGGCCCTACACACACACACCTGTCCCTGTGCCAATGCTCACAGCTCAGGCACCTCTGCTTCTCCCTCAAGGAACTCTTAGTAAGCAACAAAGAGCTGTTAGTAAACTCCAAAGAATTTTTACTTGCTGCTTTGGCCTTCTCCTGGCTGAGGAGTTTGACTGTACTCTGGCAGGAGGAGGTTTCTGAGCAACCTGCAGCCTCTCTCTCTGGAGTATCTGAAATTTGATATAGCACCAAGGAGAGGATAGAACCGGACAGAGCAATAAGGAGAAGATGCAAAGTGATGGGGTTAGAGAGAAGGAAGGGAAGGGATTTGATATCACTATGGAAGGCGTCCCTATCCAGGGCAGGGGGTTGGAATGAAATGAGCTTTAAGGTCTTTTCCAACCCATGCTAGGATTCTGTGCCAACAGGTGTGGGATGGAACCCATCATGATAATAAGGGGAGGATGGATTCCACTTGCACCTCAGGGAAGAACCTTTACATCCCTCCAAGCCTTCCTGAGTGTCACAGGATGGATCCTCATGACTCCACTCCCTGGCCAAGCCCCAGCCTGTTCCACCAGGAGCTCCAGACACCCTTCCCAGGCTGTGCTGGGAAGCCTGAGAAGCTTCAAGGTGCTACCAATTCCTTCCCCCAGGCTGCAGGGACAGGGGGGCACTCCCAGCCCCCTTGAGCTCACCTCATAGGCTGCTCCCAGGTCCTGGAACTTCTCCTGTGCCCGTGGGTCATCAGGATTCCTGTCGGGATGCAGCTGCAGCGCCAGTTTGCGATAAGCCTTCTTGATGTCCTTGATGGAGGCACCACGGGACACCCCCAGGATCTTGTAGAAGTCCCTCCTGCCATGGGGGGAGAGAGAGGAGAGAAAGGATGAGGTGGGAGGGAAGGGAGGGAGAGGACGGAAAGGGGAGGGGGGA